CATGATGAATAACAATTAAACTAATTGGACACGAAGGCCATCCTGAACATTTAATTTGATGTTCTACGGATTTCAAATGATATGTACTTTTTAAGTTGACTCCCGAAATGTAGGATTTTTTTCAATTTTTGTTCCTGTAGAATATTCCTAAAAGTTTGTGAAACCGAAACTTGTTCAGAAGATGTTCAAAACAAAATTTCAAAGGTTATGATCCTGATATATATAAAAAGAAAGAATATGATAATTTGAAAAGAGAAAATAACCCGAACTTTTACAAAAAACTAATTTTTTGGATGTCCTAGACGTCTTCTACATGCAGTCCAAAAGTTATTCACTATTTACGGAACATTACATACAGTGCAGCGATTCTTTTACTTCAATAAATTATTTATGTTTAATTAACAGTAAATTATATAATGAGAAAATTCCTAGGTAAAAGGATAAAATCATGCCATTTTCAATTTTTTTTTATTTTGCGTTGTTTTCATCCACATTCGTAGTCATAAAAGGATAATTTTATATCAATCTAAATTCGATCCTAATGAGCCAAACTAAAAATCGTATACAGTAACAATTTAATTATATTTCTTATATTTATTGACTTTTCTGTTACTTCCTAATAGATTGGTGCTTTCGAAATCCTTGATAATTTACTATATAAAACGTATTCAGGGACGACCTTGCTGCTGTTTTCCATCCATTTCCTTCTTTATATACTTTCAAGGTACCTCTAATTTATAATAAATGAGCTTTTTGCTATTATAAGTTGCAATTATTTTTTAATTTTGTCATCATTTCATCTTTAACAGTTGATTTTAAACAGTATTACTTTTCTTTTAGCTTTTATTCTTCGTTAAACTTTTCAAGGATGTTTCCCTAATTTGCAAACTGTTTTATTCAAATTATTAATAAAATCGTTAATCAATATCCGCTAATCATGTTTTAAATTTATTATTGGAGACGTTATAAATATAATATAAGTACTTCTTTAATTTAATTTTAAGTATTAGTTTAAAATATTAAGATTTTAGGATTACCGGATTTAAATAGTTTGGATTAGGGTGGGTTAGTAAATTTTGCGGAATTGGGTTAGTAATCAGAACTAGACGAAAGAAACAAAATACACACTTGTAGAAGAAATACTATCGCCAATGTTATTAATTATTAAGTGCATTATATTTGAACATCCTGTATTCAAATGACTTCAAATGGTATTAGCTGAGACATCTGCTGGCGATCTAGCAAATGTGTTATGCACCACCTATCGGCAAATAAGTGAATCAAAACGATACTGGGATATGGGATTTGATGTGTTAAAGTTTTCTACAAACCAACTCTGCCAACTCAACATCAGGTGTGAAGTTATTAGGTTAAAATTTCCACGTACATAACAACATAGTTATAAATAATATAAAAATAAAATAGAAATAACGTAAGTANTGAGAAAGTGTAATAGAGACTCTACAATTGTTTTGGCATATCAATAATATATATATACAAACGTAAAGAATTAATTATTTACTCGTTTTTATTTTAATTAATAAGTTTTTAATGGGAAAACGGAGATAAGTTGTTTTCATAGGAAAGTCTTTAACTGTATTAAATAGAATGTTTTATTAATTTTTATGCGAGACGCCCATTGGATTTCACATACGATTTGAGACTATACATATCACATTTCATATGCTTTGGGGGATCCATTTACGCTTTGAAGTATTATTTCCTGCTTAATCGCGTTTATATGTAGAATAGTATTAGTATAATAATTATACATACACAACTGTAACGCATAAATATGTATGAAATGAGTTTCGCGAAATAATTTACAAAATGATTGTAAGATCAAAGTTTATTTTTCTGGAAATTTGGAAAATGACCTTCTGACCAAACCAAACTGATTCTTAGAACAAATATGCAAATAATTTCCGGTCTTACTCATCGGGGTTGTTTGGGTTATTTATTTTTAAACGTCAAATTTTCATTTCTGTTTGACTTTACGTGTAGAAAATAAGACAATTTATAGGGTGGTTTATTAATACTAAGCCTTTTAATTTAATTTTACTTTAAATAAATTTAAAGGGACACACCACTAAGAAGAACGTACCCGCATTTTGCCTTTATTAATGTATGAGCATTTCTCAAAAGTGTTCGTTTTTCCCTTTTAGTTTACTTACTTATTATAGTCTCCTTTAATACTATATGTTGGATTTACTTGAAATTATTGTCTCTTGTTTCGCAAAAAATAAAAATATTTTTCCGTTATTATTTACATCATTAGGTGGAATTTTCGAGTAAATTGGTTGTCAAATGAAACTGTTTTCCTTGTCAGTTCCATTTAATATAAGTACATTTCTCCTATTATATTTATTTTCAGTTAATGATCAAAATACGTCCCGATTTTTTTGGAAAAACCTTTCCTACTTCGAGAGTATTTTTATACATACTTTCTATTAGCTCGGTAGAATCGTAAATTAAATTCTAACAACTATAACCTTCTCAAATATTCTGTGAACTCTGATATTGTCTGATCGACTGTTAACATTGGCATTGATTGACTTAATTTTGTTCTAATTTGTTTAGGACGATGCTCTAGCAGCTAATGCAAATTTATTTTTAAGCAAGGTCATGTTATGCAGTATGCACTTCACAACTAATAGATAATCAGTCCTTAAAAATGTGCAGTCTAGCAAAGATATTACATGTAATAACATTTATAATCGTAATCTATATATATATATATATATAAAAGAAAGTCGTCTTAGTTACACTATTTATAACTCAAGAACGGCTGAACCGATTTGGCTAAAAATTGGTGGGGAGGTAGCTTAGAACCAGGAGACGGACATAGGATACTTTTT